CTTTACAGCAAAAACAAACACTTAGGATTTTCATCTTTAAAGAGTTGCTTTTTCAAAATTAAAATTAAAATGCGTCTTTGGAGGTGTATACAATTGTGTTTAGCGTTCAAGTACATTTTATAAGCAGACCTTCCTTCCTGATTCCAGGACCCAGGAATCCAGGAATTCAGGTCCTGTGGCTGATGCAGTTTTCACTTCAGATGTTTCCTTCATTTCTTCAAATATACAGTCAGTGTGCATCTACATGAGATGCTTACCACACAGTTAACTAATTGGCTGTGCAGTAAGCATCACACATCTACACATGTGCCCCTATTAGGCTGCAGTATACTAATTTACTCCCTAGCAGGATAGTACTTGTAAATACTTTAAAGCACTGTCCTTTAATACAGTGTAAATACAAGTACTATCCTGCTGCAGAGTAAAAACTTTTGTAGCAGCGGACGTGTAGATGCTGCCCTGGCTGACTGGGACTTTGGGGGGAGGAGGGAGGGAGGGCTGCCTGCCAATTAGCCCCACAGTGAAACACCCTAGTGCCCCAGTCAGCACTCTGGAGCATATTGCACCCTGGTGCATGTTCAAATGGCATGCCTGGGACCAATAAACTGTGGAGCAATAAACCCCAAAGTTAATTCATGCATCTTAATTGCTCATGTAGACATGCCCATTGTCTTTATACTTAGTATTGATCTACTCACAGTGATGCTGTCCTCACATATCTGGACTTTTTCTCCCTAAAGGCTGTCCCTATGATCCCCATACAACTGAGACACATGATCACAGATTCACAGAAGTTTAGGACTGGAAAGGACCTCGTGAGATCATCGAGTTCCAGCCCCCCTGCTCTGGGCAGGCAAGACTGCTGGGGTCAAATAACCCCAGCAAGGTGTGCGTTCAGTCTCCTTTTGAAGACCGCCCCTGCTGGGAGTCTATTCCAGAGTCTGGTCACATGAACCGTGAAGAAGTTTTTCCTCATATCTAGTCTGAAAATGCTAGAAGTTTATGACCGCTGCTCCTGGTTTTCCCCTGGGGCACTTTGTTGAATAGTTGTTCACCTAGCCCCTGATGCTCACCCTGATATATTTGTAAACTGCCACCAAACCGCACAAAGTCTTCTCTTGTAGGCTGAACAGTCACATATCTGTTAGCCTTTCCTCGTATGGCTTGCTCTTCAGGCCTCTAATCATACAGTCATCTCTGGATTCTCTTGTGCTTCTCCACATTTTTCTTGAAGTGCGGCGCCCAGAAATGGACGGAGTGCTTCAGCTGCGGCCTCACCGATGCTGAGTAGAGGAGGAGAATAACTTCCTTAGTTTTGCTTGAGATGCATCGGCTGATGCATGCCAGCATATTTTTTGCTCTGCTAACTGTGGCATCTCACTGGCAGCTTATATGCATTTTATGGCAAATTATGACCCCCCAGGTCCCTTTTGACATGCTGCTAGCTAGTGTTGCACTACTGAGCCTGTGTTGGTTGAGGATTTTTCCTTCTCAGATGGAGCACTTTACACTTCTTAGTGTTGAACAGCACCTGGTTCTGGTCTGCCCATCTAACTAATCTGTCTAGGTCTGCCTGGATTGTCAGCCTACCCTGATGCATGGCCACACTCCTCGACAGCTTACTATCATTGGCAAACTTTGTTGGTGTGCTTTTCACCCACACATCCAGATCATTGGTGAAGATGTTGAAAAGCACTGGTCCAAGTACTGAACCCTAGGGGACCCCATTGGCTACCTTCTGCCAGGTCGACACAGATCCATCCGTTAGTCCTCTCTGGGTCCAACCCTGCAGCCAGTTTTCCGCCCATCTGACCATTGAATTGTTGAGCCCATAGTCCCCTAGTTTTACCTTGAGAGCCTCATGGGACCCCAAGTCAAAAGCCTTCTTAAAGTCCAAGTAAATTATGTCAACCTCATCTCCCTTATTTAGGTGTAAGTGACCTGGTCATAGAAGGAGATGAGGTTAGTCAGTCATGACTACCTTTCATTTGTAGCTAAAAACTATACATCCTGCCATGTAATACACCATGGTAATTTTTATGTCTTCCATATTCCAGTCTCCTACTCTCTCTCTGTATGCCTTCAAGATGCTGTGTATCTCTCTTCCACTCTCTGAGACAGGTGTCCACAAAAGGGGTCCCTTCTTTCTTGCAAGAGGTTATTCATCTTTGCATATGTATTTTAGCCGAGAGAAAAAACCTTTTTAGCTCTGTATTGATTAATCTTATCTACACCTCTGGAGGGAAACGTATCATTATGCCTCTACTGTACAGAGTTAAAACAAATTCCATAAACCAAGGGTCATTGTCAGAACTCCCTGAGACTCCTTCACAGATTTGTTTGGGGGTTTTTCTGCTTTGAATGTTCAATTTTCATGTTTTTTTCTAAAGTTGAAAAAAATAGCACTTTGAGTTACTGTCTTTAGTAGATCCAAAATTCATGTTTGAAATGGTTTTATAGACTTAACTTTTAGACAAGAAATCCTTGACAGAGGTTAAGACCAAGCTTGTGCATTTTAACTTTCCAAGTTTTACATTCAGTCTTCTTACATTAGAAAACAAGTTGAGTCTCTGGCTTCATGCACCTTCTGGCATGAGTCTGGAATGTTTATGAAATTCAGTAGACCACCTCTGGTGAAGTAAATAATATGGCCCATTATCACAGGAAGTAACAGAAGAATAAAAAAAAGAGAGTTACTTGCATACTATTTACACCAGGTCCTAGCAGGGAAGGAATATAAGATGGTTAATTTCTTTCTTGGTCCAGATAATTTCTTGTTTGTAAAAATAACAGATCAATTATTTTAATTTATTAGCTCAATTAATCCAAATAGAAAATAGGTTTCTAATAAAAGGTGGTTGGTTACTATATGTTTTTTATATTTAGATAATCAACATTAACATTCTGTATCTTCTTCATCTGTGTCTTCATTAGTGACTAAAATAAGTCTGTATCTTCTTCATCTCTCTCAGATGTTCTGCATTTTAATTCTGTGTCTTCTTCTGACTAAAATTTGAATTTTTACTCATTTGAATACACAGTACTTAATTACTTATATGCAGCATAACACCATGGTGCTGTTTTTGATATTATTTGCATTAATATTTGTCCTCTAAACCAGGCAAGCAGTAGTTTGTAAGTTATTTCACTTCTAAATCTTTTTAATTCTGCAGGGTAGGTGAAGGGCAGAAAGAAATTGCTTCTGATGATGACTAACCCTAGACCCTTGAGGTATCAAGAAGACTTAGAAGAACGGATGGAGTGAATAGTGTCAAACATGCAGGGGTAGGGCTTAGAGAGGTAGAATGGAGTGGGATAGACTGAGTCAGGATTGTGATTTGTCTAGGACGAAGACAGAACAATGTGGGTTCAGGGCTTCAGTGGGCAAGAGGTTAGATCTCTGGTGATGAAATCATAAAGCTAATATTGGTCTCGGGTGATAAATGGTGTTGTACTTACCACAAATACATACAGGGTTCATCCAGTATCATTTTTTAATTAATGTACAATCTCACTGAAAGATGGTATTGGTTTAATATATTTCACATTTCAAAATGTTTTAGTACACATTTTCAGGCAGGCCTCAAAAAGTGAACTAAAGTAAACTGCATGTTCAAAATGAGTACTTTAATAATAATAAAAAAAGATTTGCACAACAAATATTTGTTTGCACAAAGCCTATGGGTGTCATGTAAAGTCCCTTTCAAGGTGACAGTATCCTGATTCTAGGGCTAGGGACAGAAGTTACACACAAACTGGTTTAAGTGATCAGAAACTAGTTTAAACCTGTAACAGAACAGAAGTTCAGTGCACATAAACTAGTTTCAAAATGGCTGAAACTGGTTTAAGATGAACCTGGTTGAATATAGTATCAAACTTAACTAATTGAGGTCAAATTGGTTTATAGAGAGGGGAGGGAGGGAGGAATAAACCCCCTCCCTGCCCACTTTACCTCAGAGGGCCATGCCAGCCAGTGTCTGGCCATGTCCCTGCTGCTGCACTGGTGAGGCGGGGGGACCCTGACAGGGGCTGCTCTGTTCTGGCCATGCAGACAGTGGATGGGATCCCTCGGGGGGAGAGGGGAGGAATAAGCCCACTCCCTGCCTATTTCGCCTTAGGGGGCCATGCTGGGCTGGCATCTGGCCAGGGGCCAGGTTCTGGCTATGCTTCTTCCTCTGCCCTCCCCTCCACCAAAGCCAGGCAAGGGCTTCTTCCCCCCTCTCTCTCCAGGCACACTCCAGCTGGAGTCCCGGCAGACCAAGGTCAGAGTTTAAAGACCAAGGTCAGAGTTTAAACCCCTCCCCAATCATACTCAGGCCTGCTGGGGCCTGGTCATGCCCCTCCCCCCCCTCCCCTCAGCTCAGCTTCCCTCTAGCCTTCCAACGACTGCAGAAGAGAAGGGAGGGCTCACTGTAGCACCTGCCACTGCAGACATGCGGCTGCATTTCTGGAATCAAAAGTGAATGTCTGTTCACTTCCTTGCTAGTTCAGTCTACACAGATTAAACTAACCTGCAAAGATTGAATCAATTCAGGCTTGGGCTTTTTGAATGTCTGTACTTAGCCCATATGGCTTAGCTGTAGTAGTCTTTGTGCATGTAGTGGGGTGAAATTTTAACTTAAAAATATTTGGGTCTACCAATCAGTCAAATTTGATGTCATGGGTTCTATGGCGTTTTTTTGGAGGGGGTGGGGGGAGCGGTAGGGGGGGGTGGAGAAGGGAAAATTGGTGTGTGTATGTGTACTATTTTGGTGGTGGTAGTATGGTGGTGGTAGTATGGTATGTTTCATTTTTGTTTTGTTAATTTTTTAATCAAATGCTGTGTTTTTGAAGTGGCCAAGATTTTCTAACAACTAGGATGAAAATGAGGCTACTAAATGCCTAGCCCAAAACTTGAATCATTGTTTGTTAGAACTGTTCTGGATATAATTTTGTATAATTTTAAAAGAAAAATTGTTCTTTACAAGCAAATATTAAAAAAAATAAAATTTGTCTTTTAGGTTAAAAGGAATGGATTGTCTCAAACAATCAGCCAGGAAGAAAGGAAGAGGCAAGAGGTACTCATTAAAGAATTCTCCATTCTTGCTTATTTAGTATTATACAGTATCCTTAATTTGATATTTTGTTTATTCCCTGCCTGTACTGTTCATTGTGTCCTAGTTCTATTGTCTGCTGCCCAATAGACTAGGTTAAATTTTCTCCCTTAGCAAGGGGCTGCAAAACCATTCTGGATATCCTGCATATGCAGCCTGTGACCCTCTGCCTGCTCTGGCTGGTTGAGGTATGCTGTGTTCCAGTGAATTCTCAGTGGTGGGTGGCCATTTAGTGGTCATCATCAGTCAGCCCGAAAGCTGTTCTTCTCTCCGCCATGGCAAGCCTAGAATTAGCTGCAACTAGTTTATTTATATGATACCCCTTCCCCACTTCTAGTTGAGAATGTGGGTCATTTTTCTGTAATGTCAACATAGGAAATTAGTATAAAGCCCATTTTCTCCTTTGACTCACCCATCACTGTGGGTTTCTTATTTGCTTTCTGGAGGATATCAGTGTTTTCTTGATGAATAACAAGCATCTCTACAGACATGTAATTGTCCAAAAAAAAAACCAGGATCCATTTGCTGGTTTTCATTTTCATGGCCACTTGCGCTGTACGTCTTGTCTGTTTTCACTTTTGACAAAGTAGGGGGAAGAGAGACTGAGCCTTCTTTTATTCTACTTCAGTCCCTTGGGAGTCGTATTCATGGCCCCCTGAAGTCCCATCAACTTGCACTTCCTTAGAGAGATCAAGTCCTTGAGGTGTCTTTCAAGTTTAAAATCTTAAATTGGCCAATGCTATTATCCAACGGAGGGCAGGTTCTGGTAATGGAAAAAGAATAAATCATAGGAAGAATTGATGCTGGTGCATGACATTGGTATGATATTCTCCATGTGCGCCGTTTATTTTAAACAGGATAGAAATTCAAGTAACAAACTAACTCATCACCATTATGAAAATTTGGGGAAAACTCATTTTCCACTTTTTTAGGTGAGGCTTAAAAGAATAAAATAACAAATATTCACAAGCACTGCTTACTGTAACTCAGGTTACTATGCTAAACCTTTGTGAATGTTTTGCTCAAAGAAAATAGGTCTATAAATAGGCTGATCTAAGAAGGAAAGCTTTTAGTACATTTTCTTCCTTTTCTTTCAAATTGCCATCAAATTCTAACCTTGAATGTATGTATTTCAGCAACACCACACACACAACTGCAGAATAGACCTGGTTTCTTAAGATTTCCTTGAAGCATTCATCAGTGAATAAGCTTCATACATCTGTTCATGTTGATACAAAGCAATATATATAACTACATTTCAGACTGTCATTCAGTTAAACAGTCTTCTAACTTGCATATACAGTGGTACTGGTAAATAGAAACAGTCCTTCTCTGTTTTCATGTTACTGCTGTCTACTCAATCCAAGATTTTCTTGACTTGTTGTTTTAGTCTTTTGAAGTGTTTTGGGGCTATAGTAGGAGGAATAATACTCTAACTCATTCCTAATCCAATTTGTACTTCATATTTATCACACAAGCAACTAAAAGCAAAATGATTGTCTGATTTCCTGCCCACCCCCCACACCCCCAAATCCATCAGCATGACCTTGCTGTTCTCAAACTGAAAGAAGCCCATGAGGGTACTCATTAAAATTGGAAACAAAGAACCTTCCAAATAATGTAGTAAAGACAAGGGCTCATATTTATGTTTCCTTTCAGTACAAAAGTGCAATTATGGAACAAATTACTCATGGACCACCACAGTTATTTTTCAGCAAATCCTTTCTTTGTGGGTGGACCTGGGGGAAATGCAGTGTACCTGGGGTGCAGCAGGAAAACTAGTAACAGACAAAAGAAACCAAAGCCTGAATGGTGTGTTCAGACACCTCTCTGCCCCCCCTACATTAGCTTCATGAGCAGGTAACTGTGCTGCCATATTGAGGCTAAAGCTAAGATTTGGCCATGTTCCATAGACTTTGAGGGCTAAATGTTAAAGCAGACAGGGATTTAGCACATCATTCATTATCTTTGTATGTCTCCTTGCTTTAAAGCGTGCGATTTTTCAAGTAATATGTTGCATAATGGAGTTCTTATGTGGCTCCTGATATCCCTGGTCACATCCCTCTTTTTTGGCTATTAGCTCTATAGGTTAACTCTATAGGCTGTTAGCTCTATAGGTTAGCTCTATAGGTAAGTCCCAAGGTGACTGTCTGGAGGAGAGAACAAACCTCCTCCAGTCTTTTGGTACATTGGCAGCAGCTCTGCATTGCAAAGGCCACAGAGATTTTTAGAAGGAGCAAGAATGAGTCTTAAGACAAAAGCTGGAATCCTGAAAAGAGGGAAGGGCCAGGGGGAGGGAAGGGGTCGGGGGGCGGGGGCAGATCAAGGTCCCCAGTGAGGGAGGGAGTGGGGCTAGGGCAGTGGCAGGGGCAGGCACTGCCCAGCCAGGGCAAGGTGGGGCATGGGATGGAGCCACAAGCAGCTCATCCAGGGGGCCTGGTGGTGGGGGGGGTCCTGCTGCTGCATGCACCCCCAGAGGAGACATAGGAGGCACATGGTCAGCAGATCTGTGTTCAGGGTAAGGGGGACCTATGGCAGGGGGGGGTGCCAGGCTCTTTCCAATGAGGGGGCTAGGGCCAGGGCTGTGCTCGTGGTGGATGGCAGCAGTGGTGCTGGGAGCGGGGGGCTACAATGAATCCCCCTCTCCCAGCACTGCTGCCACCTGCACTGAGTGCAGCCCTTACCCATAGCACCCGCCAGGAAGAACCTGGCACCACCTGGCACCAGCCTGCCCTTGCCCCATGGGCAAATCCAGGGGGGCAGGTGTCCCCCCATGCCTCCCCTGGGGGTGCACAGAGTGGTGGGAGCTGCCCTCCCTCCCTGGGCCCCCTTTATGAGTCACTCCCAGCTCCATCTCGTGCTCCACCCTTCCCCGGCTGGGTAGCACCTGCTGCTTCTTCTTCCATATCTACAAGGCAAACCTTCCCTGAAAAACCTGGTGACAGCGAGCATTTTTTTTTCTACTATGCAGGCTATATTTGAAGTAATATCTTCTGAACATTCATACTTGCTGAGTTTGGAGATTCTGATCCGGATGTTTAAAAATTCCAAAGAACTGAGTTTCACAATGACTAAAACAGAAAGCCATCACCTTTTCTCCAATATTTCTGATGTCTGTGAAGCAAGCAAAAAGTAAGTGTATTGTAAATAACTATATATAGTTAAAGATTTCTAATGGTGGAAACTTCTCAAAAAGTTGTATATGAATTGGCATTAAATTATGCCTAGGAGGGATCTCAGCTAGGAAAAACTTAGTGCTCTGTGCATTGCATTCCATGACTGGGTATGAACAGGTGTTCACTTCTAGAGATGGACATTTTTTAGAAGTTTCCACCATTAGAAATCTTTTAAGGAAAAAGAGCAGTACAGGCATTCAGCCTGCAGCCCCTCCGCCCCCCTTTCCCATGCTCATTGTGCCTTCCCTGGACTGGGGTGATCATGGCCTGGGGAAGACATGGGGAGGAGCAGCAGCAGCTCCATTCCTCCCAGTCCCTAAGGGCAAATGCAGAAGTAGGGGAAAACTCCCTGCACCCTTTTCAGACCTGGCTCACTCTGGTCTGGGGAAGCACAGGGAGCATTGCCCAGCTGCTCTCTCCTTCCAGTCTCCATGATCCTCTGCTCCTGGAGGAGTCTAGCAGCATAAGGTGTTCATTCTTGCAAAGGAGTTTCTTACATGTGGAGGCACATTTCTGTCAGGAGAAATTGAATGAACACATATGTACACCTAGTTTCTAACAGGAGACTGGGGATTCTCCTGTAGAAATGGCCTTTAGCAGGAAGCATCTTTATTTGGTTTTGGGATGAGAACTAGCCATTTGCAGAACCAAATAGCTTCCAGTTACAAGCATGAAACATTTGATGTTTGTGTGTTAGGAAAAGAACATATCAAATTATACTTTATTGTCTTTCATTTTAATTCAGTGACTTTTTAAATAATTAACAACGACACTATTTTTTTTCTGTTGATTAGAAACAGAAGTTGAGATGATGACTTTTATATTAGATAACATAGTGTTTTGGTATGTTAGCAGGATTTATTGTTCCCTCAGTTGTAACAGTTTAGGTTTTAAATACAGCTTTGTGTGGGGCAAAGTGTGCTGCTAAACAAATTCAAAATTTTAACTTAAAAGAAATAATTTTTGTACATGGTAAAATACAGATTAATCTTTACATTAAGGTATTAAATGATTTTTTAATGGAAGAAAAACTTCATATGCTTAGAAATATGTTATGCAAAATAGACCATTTAAGGCAACCAAAACCAGAGAATACTGTGCATTTTCAGCAAACTGTTTGTCCTGGAACTAATGGGTACTTAAGGAATGATATCCTTTTGAATAGCGCACATACAAATGTACTTGTGTATAAAATTGTCTGTTAATTCTTCAGTTGTTGGGTCAAATTTTGTGCTTGTTAATATCTATTCAATCTCAGTACTTCTTAGAGTATAATTAAATCAGCAAAAGATTTGTCCTTTTGTATTCTGAGACCACCAACAGGAAAGATGATTAATGTATTTACGATAGACTTGGAAATGTATAAATTGCTATCTTGTTTTTGCATTTAAACAATATCTTTCTTTCTTCTTCACTACTTACATAGTTTAGGAGGAGGCTTTATGTGCATTTACAATATGAATTTGAATACTTAAGGTGCCTATACATGTGCTCGGGGTGGGGGGGGAGAGTTTTAATTACGACGGGTTCTTGGAGAGCCATTCTAATGATAACACAGAAGCTTCACATGTATTAAGCCCCCCACATTTATAAATGGCCGCAGGCAACTAACTAAAGCTCATTTGACAAGCTTTAGTTCAAGTACCGCAGCAGCCCTTTTTAAACCCAAGGGGGCTTATGCCTGTGATGCTAAGGTGATGCTAGAGCATTCTAATTAGTACACGGAGCAGAGTCTGCTCCGACGCATTCCAATTAGAACTCATTGAAGCACATGTATAGACACTCTCATATGCAAGCAGTATTAGCTTCATTGTGCAACTTGAAATTAGAGCTAATCACCCATTCCCTTTGTACCTAGCTCAAAAATTTGCTGAATGTGCTCTTCTGAATGACATTTGGAAATTCAGTCACTATCTCTTCACTTTCTGTTCCTGACTCAGCACCATATCCTTAAACCTGGGTTTCATCCAGACCAGTTTTAGTATTTGATTCTCAATTCTCCTTACCAAAGTCCAACTGTACTATGAATCTCTTTATATCAAACTTCAACTTTTAAGAATCTTACAGTAATTGCAAATACTAGAAATAAAATTTAAAACTTTTTAAATCTACTTAAATTTAATACTGCAGTGAGTAACATAGTAATGAAGTGATTAGTATAAGAAAGTTAAAAAGAAATCATGAAAGGCACTCGTCTAAATAATGTTAATCCTATTTGAGGCCCAGATTTAAGAAATATGGAGCTCATCTAAACCCGTTAAATTCAATGTGAGTGGAGGTTATTTTGTATCTTTCAGAATTTATGACATTCACTCACTCATACTAGCTCAGACTTAAAATTTGGACTGTAGTGTTTCTTTACAGGTAAACATATTTGGATAATATATATACTAAGATAAAGTGGTAAGGAAAGGGAAATGGCTTCTTTCTCGCTCTGAAAGGTCACAGTGTTTGAAAAGAGAAGTAAAAAAATCATCTCACCAGATGTCCCTCAAGTCTTTTGTTTCATCTGGCTTTTCAGTGACTTTAGTTAAACTATTTGCAGTGCATAAACTTGTGTCAGTCTGCAGGATAAGAGCTTTAGATCTCTCACATATGGCATTTCAAATGAGATCACAGTGTTTGCATTTTTCCTGCCAGGGTAACTTCTTTCAGAAATAATATAAACAGGTTTCTCTTTCCATTGTTTTAAAGAAGAGGGCTGTTGTATACAATGCCATACATTTTGAATCCTAGAGAACTAGAAAACTTAAAGCATCATGGAGTTTACAGTTGTAGTGAGTAAATAATGGAAATATGGGAGGGAATTCAAACAAAAAAATACAGCTGGAAGGGACTCAGGAAGCCATCTAGTCCAACTCCCCTGCTCAAGGCAGGATCATCCTTGACCATCCTAATCATGTTTCTGTCTACCCTGCTTTTAAAAATATTCAAGAATGGGTATTCATAGCCTCCCTGGGCTCCCCTTGCACCAGCAATAAGGCATGTGTAGCATGGCAGGAGGCGCATCAGATTTGATTGCACCTATACCTGCATGTGTAGAGGCTCTATAGTAAGAAAGTTCTAATGTACAACCTAAAGCTCTCTTGCTGCAATTTGAAACCATTACTCCTTAGCCTGGTCTCTGGCTGCAGAGAACAGGATATCTTAATCCTCCATATAACCATCCTTCAGATATTTGATATTTGTTATCAAATCTCCCCTCAGTTCTCTCCCCAAACTAAATATTCCTTGTTTAGCTTTTCTTCATGAATTGTGTTTTTTTTAGGCCTCATTTTTATTGCTTTTTGCTAGATTCTTTCTGATTTTTCCATATCTTTCTTGAAGTGCAGTACCCAAACTGGACACAATATCCTGTTCTCCCCTCATCAACTCAGCTTGTCATCTTCTCTTAAAATGAAATCAAGTTAGTCAGCTCTTGCAAACACACAGATTGAGCCTACTGCTTTCAACCTCTAAATAATTGTCTCTTATTTGTCACTCTACCTTTTATAAATCAATTTTACCTGTCACAAATTTTCTTCTTTTAATCCCTATTAAATAGGGATCCCTATCCCTTGATGAAAGGAGCCCCATGATTTGGTTCATATTTCTGTAAATACTTGGAAAGCCTGAGTTTGAATCATCACAGTCCTATCAAAATTTTGCAGGCATCAGAGTGTGGCTTAAACAGGTCTTTTTTCTGAGAGAGATCTTTATGCTTGTTAGATTTCCCAAAGATTTTCTTGCCATCATACCTCCAAAATAGACTGTAGAAGAATTGTTTTCTTTTGTGACCTGGAGTGAGTGGGTAAAAAGGGAAGAGACATGATAAAGAGCTGGTCTCATTATGTCCTGATAATTGTTTGGACTTCATAACAAGCCTTCATAATGAATTAAGCATCAGTTAATTAAGCATTTTGAGCATTTTTTGCATACAAAGGAGTTTGGCAATGGAGAACAGAAAGGGGTGGGTATCTATAAATTTAGCAAATTCACCAGGATTGTAAACATGCTAGGTTTTGCAAATATGTTAAAATAATACGTTCTTATGGTACACTTATCTAAGGTTTGCTATTAGGTATGACTAGCAAATCTATGAACCTGAAGGTTTACCAACTATTTTCAGAGGTATATTAAAATATGCTCTTTAACTGTTCAGTTGAGCTAGGGACAGAAATCACATACAAACTGGTTTAAGTGATCAGAAACCGGTTTATATCTATAACAGAACAGAAGCTCAGTGCACATAAATCAGTTTCAAAATGGCTGAAATGGGTTAAAGATAAATGTGGCTGAACTTAGTATCAAACTTAACTGATTTTAGGTCAGACTGGTTTATGGAACTTATGCCCCAAACCCCTTCCTGGTTCAAGTTAAATCACGGTCCCCCAGCATCCCAGCATGCTTTTTAGCCCTGGACTGGGGTGTGCTGTCTGCTCCAGAGAACAGGGCTGTCCTTGCCCTTCTGCTTTCTTGCCAGAGCAGGGGTGAGGGCATGGCCAGACACCAGCCCGGCATGGCCCCCTGAGGCAAAGGAGGCAGCGAGGGGGTTTATTCCCCCTCCCCTCCCCTGGGGGTCCTGAGCTGGGGTCCACTTGGCTGGGGCAGAGCAGCTGCTGTCAGGCATTTAACCCCCATGTCAGTGTTGCGGTGGGGGGGGGCATGGACAGCCCCTGAAGCAGTCTCAAGCTAACAGGGGACAGAATGGGGTTTAATTCCCCACTCTCTCTCCTGTCCTACCGGCATGGACCTGAGCCAAGGTCTGCCTGGCTTTTCCCCACTGCTTGTGGCTCAGCACAGCCTGGGATCCCCAGAGCCTCCCTCCCAGCCAGGAGGTGATCCCACTTTGCCTTCCCAGCTGCCAGGGCTGGGGTTTCACATGGGGCAGCCCAGGATCAAAGGCCAGACCAGGGACAGAGAAGAGAATGAAATGGCCCGAAGCCCAGGTGGGGACATGCACAGAGGGATTGTGGT